TAATTATTAGACATCATTTAACTACAATCATTTAGTTATTGCTCTACTATTTATGAATTCATAAATAGTAGAGCAATAACTAAATGATTGTAGTTAAATGATGTCTAATAATTAACCAAAAAGAAAAAGAGTATATACATATAGCGCCACTTTTTATGGCACTATATCAGCTGTGTCAGATTTTTTTTGTATAACGCCAGAAAACCGTTAATATATAGCGCCAGATTTTCTGGCGTTATATATAGTATGGTAATTTTTTTTTTTACACCTATTTGTGTAGTTTGAGTCCAAAAGAACCACATTTTGATTCCGGACTCGCTAAATTCGGGTCTAAATTACTTAAAAACATTTCTAAAACATTATCTTAATAGTGTGTCTTTACTTTTTCTTCACCATCTTAAACATGTCTTTATGTACTTAGAAAAGAATTGATTCTAAAGTAGGTGTCAAGTTGAGGCAGAGAATTTCAGGACCCTAGAAAGGTATAGGCATTAGTTAAGATCTGCAGGAAATAGCATCTTTAACCCTGCCATAACATTTATGTGGTGATAAAAACTTTTCATTTAGAGAAGTTGAAGTATACTATTTTCAAAGTCAAAAGAGATCATTCTTGTTTAACAAGACTATAAAGGAAATAGGTCCACATAAACTAGAATGAAGTACATTTTCTATCCGACCTTTAAGATGACTCGAATATATGAATAGCCCTTCTATATCTCAACAAATTAATTGATGAAGTCTCATTTTGAATAAAAAGTTAAATGAGGGTCTTTTTTTCGGAAATAAAAAATATGAGGGTCCTTTTTCACTAACTAAGAAACCAATTACGCCTCCTATCAAAGTGTAAAGCATGAATCACGTCTAGTTAAATCTTCTGCTGTACTCAATGGACAAACAAGAAATGCACTCTTTTTCTGCAACAATGAAACAAACGTACAAACAAGATTCAATCTATAGAAGATGCACTGCTTTGTTTTCTTCTTCGGAGACTCTCAATAAAAACTCTCAACACTCATATGCCCGACTAAAAAGTTGTCATTCTCAAGCACGTTTTGACTAATTTACAAGGCAAAATCGCTCCTGCTAAGAACTCTTAAAAGCACCCAAATGTCCAGACGCTACTCATAAAGCATTCTACTGCTAAGCACTCACCCTACACAGATTTAGCAGTTGGCAGCGATTAGGAAACATGACCGCCATATACAATTTCACCGATTGGTGTTAAAGCTGCAGCTCAAGCTGCTCAACCAGCAAAAGAACACTACAGTTATGCAGGTTAGATCATATATTTCCCACAATCATTCAGATTACTAGAACAATCACTCCATTGGGGTAGGTCCCTCCTCGTCCATAATACTAATAGTATCAGAGTGAACACTTCCAAGCATAACTGCTGTGAGCATCAACTTTCCAGCATCAGGATAATCCTTGTGCTGCATCAGGATATTCTCCACAGAGGATCCCATGTTCTTTAAATTCGCATGCTCAGAATTTTCTAGTCTCAGCGGCAGCACTTCATGGAAATTGCCCTCAAAAGTTTCCGCTTTGGGGCCATAGCACCTATTCGAAGCCTGGAAAAGAATGGTGTCTTTTAGAATGCTCAAAGTCTCCTCATCACTCCACCCCTCATCTACAGATGCTTGATACAGTCTCTCCCAGTCGTCCTGATTGGAGGCATTTCTCCAGCAGTCCTCCAAGAGGCTTGCATTAGACTTGATAAAAGAGGAGCTGGTCCAAGCAAAAACATCAAAAACTCTCAAAGAAAGCTCCCTATTTTGAATTTTAAGGCACAATTCAATAAGGTCCATCGGGGGAAGAAGCCGCTGGCGAATATTTTGGCTTTCATCATCTGAGAGGAGTTTCATTATTTCTTCCTGCAAGAGAAGTAAATTTGACAATAAGAGCAGAACAGACCAGAGAGAGGATATTCATCTATCAGAGATCCCTTGCCACAAGGGCCAAGTGGACCATTAAACGAAAAAAACTAGAAAACAATATCAAAAAGGGAAAGCAGGTACTGACTGGTTACATTTGCTAGGTTGGGGCACTGAATTAAAAGAAACCTCCCTATCTAATATCCTAGTAGTTTTTCATATGCTTCTTCTAGAAAAGCTGTCTCTGGCCGCTTCTAGTTTCACAAGGTGTGGTACTTCTGAAGTCAGCAAATACATAGATTCAGTACTCTGTCCAGACTTTTACCTCAATTAATTTCAATGAATATTTCAAAGACGAGTCTTTTATTGTCACATTATTACCAGACATTAGCCTGCGATCTTCTTCCTCTACTTCCATAACTACGGGAACATGCCTACTCTTTGCCTCACATTTAGAGTTTTGGAAGTATTTGTTACAACTATAGTCCCCAACAACTCTTAATTGTGGATGAATACGTAGGCAGCCACAATACCAAGTCTGACATAACAAAAGATTATTATGGGTCTGCAACTAAATAATGGCAGACAACAGCAGACCATACAACACAAATCCATATCCATATTAAGAAATGAATGGACCATATTAAGATAGAATTTGAGTACCCACTGCTAGTGTTATCACTATTTTCCTAATAATATGTAATGTTATCACTGTGCGACAAGTTATGTTCACAAAAGAGCAATTTATACTGAGGTGACAGAAATCCTCAGCTCCAATAACCAAATAAGCAACAAAATTAAAATGATACCTGCAAGTTCAGAATCTTCAAATCAGCCTCTATGCGCTTTACCTTTGTTTCAAAATTAGCACTTCTTCCTGCCAAGAGATGAAGTAAATGTAAGTTGTCATCAGTAACTAGTATAGAAGCAATACAAAAATAATAAACTGGAAACATGAAATTTGTTGAATTCTAAAGGTTAAAAGTCCAGAAGATATGGAAAATGAAGAAGATGAAGAATGTCAACAAGCTCAAATAATTATAATCAAATGATATAAGGTAATTTATCATCCAATTTTACTATTTGGCACACTTTTTTCAAAAGAAATTAGGAAACTTCACAAAATTTTCTCAATTTCTTTATTTTTCAATACCATCGCTTACGGCAGTCCATATATTCCTCCCTCAGGAAAGAGAACATTAATCACAGATAGATGTAGATAATGTAAAAGGAAGAAAATGAACTTCCTGAGTCAAGGTAGTTCCTGAAAGCCACTCTCCACCAGCTGAATAGTGGTGCTGTTCTTTACTGAGAAAGCTTAAGAAGAGTTGTGTAAAATTCAAAAGCTTTAGAGATTATTTCTGAGTCTCAAACAAACACTACACCTCAATCTCTCCCACACTAACTTGGAAAAAGCACCAATCTCAACTGATATTGACCTTGCATCGATTTAAATCCAGTCTTACCTAACTTTTGTGCTCACAATTACAAAGTCAAAGGGAAGAATACCTGCCAATGCAGCTATCTTCGAGAGATTCAAAAACCGCTTTCTTTCAACCAAACTTGTTTCTATGATGGTGTCAAATGAATAGGTTCCATCATCCATAGCAGAGCTATCATCCGATGAAAGAGACAAAACATGTAGAGTTTCAGAAGCTTCAGAAAATTGACGAAGGAATATCTCGTGAAGCCAAAGGAGATCCTGATGCTGTTTTAAAAATATTGCTAGTTCTTCCTGAAACTCCTCCCCAAGTCTCATTAGCTTAGAAAACTGTTTGTTGTCGTATAGTTGTTGAAACACGAAGTAACTAAAGCCTCGTTTAGGTCCCATGCTGTCATGCTGCACAAGAAAAGGCTTATTATACAGAAATAGGCAAACATCTAAAGAAGCAAAACACACGCAGAATACATAAGTATTTACCATAAGATTTTTAAGAAGTTCAGTATTGTTGAGATCGCAGCATATACTCCATAGAGTTTTGTAACCTTCGTGTCTTTTTGCAATAGTCAACAAGCCTGAGGAAAGCTTTCCAAAAATCTCCAACTTTTGCTCCTCAGATCCTTCACCCGAATGCTGCATGGATGAATATGGAATATGTTTGAGCAAAAACAATGTCTGGGATAAGACTTCACGCTATATTCCTTTTCCAGAATTTCTTATCCTTAGGTAACTCCTTTTATTACATGTATGAACACTAACAGACAAGTATAGGGGAGAAAAAGAACCTTTTTTGGGTGGGGGATATCTTCTTGTACATAAATCAACATGTATTAATAAAACACAAAAAAGTGAATACAATCATAAATTCGTGTTGCATGACCTCGAAACCCCAGAAAAAAACTACGAAAGTTATAGAAAAGACAATAGAGTATTAATCTACTAGGCCATTTTCTATGGATCTACGAAATGTCAGGTCCAATCAAATACCATCAAAAGAATTCTTCAAATTAACATGTACTAATATACACAAAAAGGTAGAATATATTCATAAATTCATGTTGCATGACCACGAAATACCAAAAAATGAACCTGAAATGCTAAAAAGCAACATCAGTCATGGCAAAGTAATCAATATTATTCAGTAGATTGTTTCCTGTGGGACCTAAGAAATTTCAGGCCAATCGGAGCCTGTCAAAGAACTTCTACAAAATCAGCATGTACTAATACACACAAAAAATGAATATAATCATAAATTCGTGTTGCATGACCTCGAAATGCCATAAATAAACACGAAAGTAATGATGAAGCAATGAATATTGGTCACTAGGCCTTTTACTATGGGCCAACAAAACTTTTAGGCCAATCAGAATCCGTCGAAAAATATCTACAAAATCAACATTTACTAATACATACAAAAAAGAGGATATAATCATAAATTCGTATTGCATGACCTCGAAACCCCATAAAATG